ATGCATTTGACCAGGCACTCGAGTTTATTTTCCAGCTTTTACATGGGCTTTGTTTGCATTCCCTTTCTTCTGTGATTGACTCACATCTTTCCAGTTTCCGAAGAAAAGGAAAAGGGATGATTCATCATTAGCTTCGGTCCATAGGCTCATAAATTTTCTTCTCTTTACCTAACTAATCATCATCATTACTAATTATGCTGCAGAAAATAAACTGGAATACAGTATAGGCTGGCTTCATACCAAACACGTCCACGGATAAATCAGAGATGCTGCTGCCAAAATGGCTTGAGTGGCTAAGCGTGGACGATAGGAACTGTTTCCCCATTCTGCTTTGGTGTTCAGCCTCTATCCTAGGACCTAGGCTTACTTGGATAGAGTTGGAAATTGAGTAGTATAATCTAGTTTTAAGGGAGCTCAATGCCAATTAAGTGAACATTACTTGGAACATAAATTCATGAATAAAATTGCATGTTGGTTTTGTTGAAAAATGACGGTGTGGCAGGTCTTGGGGCAGGGCCAAGGAGAATACTTGCATTCTTCCTCCCAAGCTGTTCAAAATGGCAGTTCTTTGAGAGCCAGGGAGAGCTCCCTGGGCAGATGGCACACAGCACCGGATGGAGTCTGGAGTCGGGAGGGAGGGAGGGAGATAACACCAGTGCTCCTTGAGCCCTTCACTTGACTTCCACTACAGCTCCATTTTTCCTCATTAGCTGGTGAAGACGCAGGCTTCCAGAGGTTCAATGACTCGCTCTAGTGTCACAGCTGGTGGTGACAGAGCAAGGATTGGACCCGAAGTTCATTGCGGCCAAAGCCTCTGTCCTTCCTCCTCTGCTAAGCTGCTTCCCACATTTTTATATGGAAGTAAGGTAAAGAATATGGCAGGAAGGAAGGTTAATAAATCGGTGGTCACTGTTTCCGTACTGGTGTCAAGTATTATTTTTTGTCCCAGCTCCATGTATCTTGAAGGTGGTAGTCCTGAGCACCATTGTTAAGGAAAGCTGTCTCCAAATTCATAAAACTGCAAGAATCTGTGCTTTTTCTCTTACCCCTCCCCAGTTCTGTCATTTCTGCCTCCATAGCTCCAAGCAGTGAGTCCTTCCCATCCACACACATTCACGTCTCCCTGTGGTCTGTCCCTGGGCTTTAACGCTAAGGATAGAGAGGAGCATTTGCCAAGATTCACCAGCAAACCCTGTGTTTAGCTTTTGGATTTTAAGAAAGAATACATTCCGTACCTGGGGTCTGAAATTAGAAGGTTCTACCCTAACTGCTGGCCCACTGGGGAAGTCTGTCAGCTTTCCCCTCTCTAAGCTCCACACGCTCCCTTCGCCTGCACCTGTCGCTGGCGGTCACGGTGTTGGACAGCAAAGAGCAGACCCCGCAGCTTGGAGCACTCCTGCCTCCCCTGCTTCTCTTTGCTCAAATTTCTCTGTTCTCAAAACAAAGTGTTTGATTCCTTGCCTTCTCAGCTACTGTCCTGCCCCTTCGTCTCGCACTACCTCAAAAGGGACTCCAGTGCTCCCATTCTAGCATCCCTGCCGACTGCGGCACCTCCCTGATGCTCACTGAAAACACTCTTAAAAATACTAAGGATCTCCTGGCCACCAAAACCCAAGGTTCCCTCTCCATACCCTTATGCTGCTCAGGCCTTTTTTTTTTTTTTTTTTTTCCTGCCGGTGATGCATGCTGGGAGATGTTGATAGCTTTCCTTCTGCTTCTGTCCCCGTCCTTCCTTTCCATCAGACGGAGCTGTGTGCTCCCCGAGGGTGTCTCTCTGTTCTGTTCCGTTGTCTCTGGTTGATAGCTCTTCTCTGTGGCTGTCACCTAGGTCTCCAGGTCCACACCTGACTCTTCTCTACAATATCAGCCCCACACTTTCAGCTTTTGCCCGCCTCTTTTCTGTCTTCCTGCATAACTTATTTCGTATGTCTTCCCAGCACCGCAACTGGAATATGGCCCAAGCAGAACTCACTGTCGTTCTCTCGGGATCCCTATTTCTCTTAATGATGCCACTCTCCTCTCCAGACTTTCTGTGCCTTCTCCCCACTGTACAGCCACGTTGTAATTCACTGCCGGATCCCACTCGGCTTCCCTAGAACCACCTGGCACCTTTCATCTCTTCATCCTGATTGCCAGTCTTTCCTTCAACGATTCGTTACCTCTTGTCTAATATCATAATAGCTTCCCAGCAGTTCTTTCCATTCTATCCCGAATATGACTACCCTAATGAATCATTCTCATACTCTTTTTTTTTTTTTTAAGGATTTTATTTATTTATTAGAGAGAGAGAGAATGAGCAGGGGTTGGGGATGGGGAGGTGCAGAGGGTGAGGGAGAAGCAGACTCCCCACTGAGCAGGGAGCCTCACACAGGGCTCCATCCCAGGACCCCAGGATCATGACCTGAGCGGGAAGGCAGATGCTTAACCGACTGAGCCACCCAGGCGTCCCCTCATTCTCATACTCTTAACCTCTCTGGTGTTTTCCCATCACCTGCTAGAAAGTCCCACATCCTTGGTCCGGCACTCAAGGCTGTCCATGGTGTGTGGTCTGTGCCTGGCCACGCTCACCTCTCCCCTCCCTGCAGGACTGCGCTCTCCGGCTGGGTCAGCGGGAGGGTGCTTGCAGGTTCTGTAAGAATTTTGTTTCCTTAAAAGGCATCTGGGGGTGCCTGGCTGTCTCAATTGGTGGAGCCTGTACTCTTGATCTCGGGGTTGTAAGGTTGAGCCCCACTTTGGGTGTAGAGATTACTGAAAAATAAAATCTTGAAAAAAGAATAAATTAAAAAGGCATCTGTTTCAAAGACCTGAACATCAAAGCTAAAACTATAAAACTCTTAAGAGGGGGCATTTTTAAGTTACTCTTGTATTAGGAAAAAAATCCTCTAGCCAGTGCCACAGGTAGAGTCTAGAAATAATGCTGTAGTTGCTCACCCTCTTTCCTTTGCTCACAATGATTTCCGAACCTGAAAATAAACTGCCCCCTGTTTTGACATGTTTAAATACTCTCCATAATCCAGATCTTTCATTGAGCCATCCCTGATTCCTCCGGCTCCTGTATGGCTTGTATCACCCTATTTGTATTACAACTGTTTACATGCATAACTGGTTACCGCTAGGCTGGAAGTTTCTTGTGGGCAGTGACAAGGTCTTAGTTACAAGGGACAAAAACAAATACCATAATGCTTGATGCACGGCAGATGTTCAATAAGAATTTGAATGAATAAATGAATGGAAGAGGAAATCTATTCATGTTTTCTTTCTTACCTAACCTGAAATTGCTTAAGAGTAGGATTTGGATCTGATTCATCTTGATGCCCTATAGTAGCTAGCATTGTGCTTTGTACCTGATATGCTCCACAGATATCTTGAATTTTTACCTTTTTTCAGCTTTATTGAGGTATAACTGACAAAATTGTAAGGCATTTAAGGTGTGCATGGTGGTGATTTGCTATATGCATTGTGAAAGGACCCCCCCAATCTAGCCGATTAACATGTCCATCACCTCATATATATATTTTTTTCAGTGAAAACAGTTGAGTTCTACCCTTAGCAAATTTCAATTATTCAATAAAAATTTCTTGAATTAGTAGCTAGATAAGCAGTTGATTATGATATGAACTTTCTGAATGCTGTATTACTGTATTTGACTTTCAGTAATTTAATCTAGGTGCTCTTACTACAGCTAAAATGTTTTACAATTATGTTGCTCTTTTTGACTGTCATTGTTAATTTTTACCAGTGATTATTTTTTGCTTTATGCTTTTTCTGCATTTCTAATTTTGATTTTTAACAAATCATATCATTGGCAAGGAGTACCTTCTTAATTTCACAAGGGAAGTTAGAAAAAGGAGGTTTACTTTTTAAGAAATGTGCTGGAGCTTTTCCATGTTATTATCTCCTGGCTCTGGGAGTGGGTGGGGTTCAATGACTGGCAATTATTTCTACAAGAGTGGTTGGGTAGTTCTTTCCAGAGTCATCGTGACTCCATCCAGAGACCCGTAATTTGGATGCTTTCAATAGGAAACAGAGTTGGGCAGCCTTCACTGAAACACTGGGTTCCTCAGACCCCAGTTAAGTTGAACTAAGTTACTTTGCTTCCTTTCAACCAGGAGGCTGACACTCTTTGTTTTATGGTGGGGGGCTGCCTGGTGGGGGAGTGCTTGCCAGTCTTCTCTGACAGTCTCTTGCTAGACAATACTTGATTCTGACTGGTGAGTTAATAGTATTTGCTTGTAGTCCCGTTACTTGGTGCAAGCCTAAATAGTAATGCAATTAAAAGAACGGACTGAAAAATACTAGGGGTCCTTGTGTGCCTTTGCAAACCCTGCTGCCTGAAGGTTCATTGCTGCCGCTCGTCTTTGTTGCTGTTGTTTTGAGTTTTTCTCTCTTTTAAAACCAAATGACAAGAATTACTTTGTTTCAGTGATTCGGTGGGAAAAAAAAAAAACAACACATGCCTGTGTGCACTTCTTTGGCAGCATTGTTTTAATTTCCTATGAGAGAGGAATTGAGCGAACTAGTTACATGGAGTCCCTAGATTTGGGAAGTTGCGCCTGAATCTGGCAATGAATACTTACAGGAGGGTAAATAGAGTCAGGAAAAGAAGACCAGAGGGTCTAAGGAAAGAAATTTACTTCTAGGAGAAGTTGCTCTTATTGGAAGCAAGAGCATTTCTCCCTTGTATTTTAGAAGAACAAGTCAGGATCCACCGAAATACACAAAACAGAATCAAGACTCCCTCTTTATGAAATACGGGGCATTGTGTACCCCCATGAAGGCGTTCCCTTTAGAAATGAGCAAAGTATTTACCGTAAGAAGCCGCCTGAGACAACTCGTTTACCTTCCACTGGGCATTACCCAAGGAACTCCTGTAATCTCTCTCGAGTGGGACATTTTTTACGTTTTTGACCCAGTGCCAAGACATTTGAATTCCGGCAGATGTGCTGACATCTCAGCTTGTTTGAAATCATTAACTTTTCTGCGTTTTTTTTATCTTCTTCAGAAATGAACACACTTGACTATGCTCTATGTCCCTGAGCTCCCCGGTCACCTCACGACTTTGGAAAGACAAGAAGGAAGGCGTGGGAGTGCCAGCCCCTGAGAACAAGCTCCTTGCCCTTGGCCTTGGCCCTCCTGCTTCCGGGCCACAGCCATGGCCACGATGGAGACGCTCTCCCAAGATTCCTTGCTGGAATGTCAGATCTGTTTCAACTACTACAGCCCCCGGCGAAGGCCCAAGTTGCTGGATTGCAAACACACATGCTGCTCGGTGTGCCTCCAGCAGATGAGGACGAGCCAGAAGGACGTAAGGTGCCCCTGGTGCCGGGGCATCACCAAGCTGCCCCCGGGCTTCTCCGTGTCGCAGCTCCCCGACGACCCTGAGGTCCTTGCGGTCATCGCCATCCCGCACGCGTCTGAGCACACCCCAGTGTTCATCAAACTTCCCAGCAATGGGTGCTACATGCTGCCCCTGCCCATCTCCAAGGAGCGAGCGCTGCTGCCAGGAGACATGAGCTGCCGCCTGCTGCCCGGGAGCCAGCAGAAGGCCGTCACGGTGGTGACCGTCCCCACGGAGCAGCAACCTCTGCAGGGCGGGGCGCCCCCAGAGGCGGGGGAGGAGGAGCCAGACAGACGGGGCGTGGTGAAAAGCTCCACCTGGTCCGGGGTGTGCACTGTGATCCTGGTGGCCTGCGTTCTCGTCTTCCTGCTGGGCATCGTGCTGCACAACATGTCTTGCATTTCTAAGCGCTTCACTGTGATCTCCTGTGGCTGAACAGGGCTGCAGGGAAGTCTCTCTTGGGTGCCAACTCGGGGTTGAGCAGGTGTTGGTGATGGGATCGCAGCGAGAAGATGGGGGGGCGACGCTGATCATTTGGTGCCCGCCATGGCCTCTGGGCTACCACTTGATTAACCGGAGACAGACACGAAGGGCAGACGTGAGGTCTCAGCGAGCTACCGGGCCAGTCATTCTGAGTGTTGGTGGCAACAGCTTCCAGGACGATTGCATGCATCCTCATAATCATTTATTAAATGGACTGTAATTTATGATTTGTCCAAATCATGTTACGAGATAGACCTAATCTACTTAGATGTTAAACCGTGCAAGTGCATACAATGTGATCTTCTCTAAATGTGGTAGATTAAAACAGAGATGCTTATGTATACAAGTAGAATTAAACCTGAGAATCCACGTAAAACTTCAGCGACGACGACGTGCAGTGCTGGTTTCTTTCCCCTTTGTAATGGAAATCTAGTCTTCATTTAGTTGCTGAGGCTTTTTATACTTTTTGAATGGCACCCAAATTAAAATAAGTGAAGTGGACGGTCACTTTTTTTTGGAGAAAATGTCTGAACGAGTGTTTCCAGTGTGTTGTGTTTTGTTACATACCTTCATTTTTCTTCCCTTGTAATTAGAGCTCGCTACGTGTTTATTAAACTGAAAGCCCAACAGGGGAGCAATAAACTGAGTAATAATGAGAAATGCCTAATCCCACAGGAACCCTATATGCCAATTTTTCTCAAGCTATCCCACAAAATAAGAATTTTAAATGTAAATATTGTGTACTTGTGTGTGTGTGCATGTGTGTGCGTGTGTGTGTGTGTGTCATTTGATTTACCTCAGGTTTTGAATCTTTTCAGAAGAATCCCAGGAGTAAGACTTTGTGGGCCTGAATGAGTCCAGGGTCTGACTCGGTGGCCACCTCTTGGGCACCAGGATCCGCCCAGTGAAGTGTGGCACACTCGTCAACTTCCAACATTTGCTCCTCTTCTGTGTATTCAAGTCCTGTATTCTGTGAGGCACAAATGGAAAGTAACAGAAGATTCTGTCTTTTTTCCCAGTTTGGAGGTATTGTAATAGATGTGAGTGTTGTTCATCGATGACAAACCTGGACTGACATTTTAATAGACAGTCCATGATTGCTTTTTGAAAGATGCTCCGTGAAAGTTAAACTGTAGGATTCTCGTTTCTCCTTGTTGGTATAAGTGAGAAAATCTCTTGTATTTCAAAATATGTTTTTATTGAGAAAAGTGACAAGATAAACTAAGGACTCATATTCCCAATCTAAGTGGATCAGTTCATCATAAATTCTCAAATACTCTTAAATGTGCAGATGCTGGTGAAGAAAGGTCTGCTGGCGTTACGTGGTAAATTCCCGTGCCTGGATATGTGTGCGTTCAGAAAAAGGTGTGAGCTTTACAGTTCTCTTCTAATTTCTTTTATGGAAGTCATGAAGCAAGTGTATTTGAGAGCTAAAAGTAGAAATTAGGTTAAAATGCCATTTTATTGTGTAAGCTATTGGGCATTATACAATAAATAATCTAGGATTTATTTGGTATTAATAATTTAGGTATCATATTAGCTGAATACTGTCCTCTATTACATAACATAATATACTGTTGGGTTAGTGTTGATTTCTCAAACTCTGCCAGGCTGCCGTGATGCATGTCTGACCTAATTTCTATTCCTCTCAGAGGAAAAACCCCACAGATAATGTTGCATTAAGAATGCTACATTTCAATTGCTTCTCGGCCTTTTGGCTAAGATCAAGTGAAGAATGCTACATTTCAAATGGACTTGACCCTTGCAATTTTCAGCCAGGCCATACTTGAGTTAATTTTGTGAATGATATCTACATCTGTTTATGTACAGTATGAAATGACTGGCCCTGTAGTGCAGTCTGTCCTGGAGTTCTACGTGTTAAGTAGGTTACACATAGACACTAATGTGCGTGGCGATAGGGCGCCCTGTGTTTCTTAGTGCAAAGCCGTAGAGTAAAAATGTCCACGTAACTTAAAAATAATCCCATGCTAGAGCTGCAGTGAAGCAGTGCAAAATTAATCGGCTCTGTGATAGATTCTTGACTTTACAGTTTAAGGTAACAATAACACCAAAATCAGAATTTTGTGTGTGCGTCTTACTGACCTAAGAAATATTGTTTAAATGGATTCTGCCTGCAGTTATTTGTGCATTGCTTGTTAAAGTGTGCAGTTGTGCACGTGTGTGTGTGTGTGTGCGTGCGTCCTATCTCAGCCTGCAGATAGAATTTTTGTAGACTTGATGTTTTCATGTTAGTTGGCATCCCATCCCGCTGGCCTCTTCTGGCATTTCCCCACGACACTAGCAATTCATCTACCCCGTGTGACAAAAGTCCAGTGACACAATCAACCGGAATTCACAGTTGCACATCAATGAAAAAAGAATCACAACTGAAAGCACAGAAAGTCAGAGCTGAAAGCAACCTCTGGTGGCTTCGTTTTGTACATGATTCCATGGAGCCCCACGGAGGTATGTGGCCCCTTGTAATTCTGCAGCAAAAGGGATACAAGAACTGCATTACAGTTTCTCTTGCTCCTTCCTAGGCCTGTTGATATATCTGTTGGGCTATGGTCTTTTGGAGGGTGGATGAATTCCCTTTACTAACTCAATAGTGTTTTAGTTTTTTGTTTTTGTTTTTTTAAATATATATATATCCGTTTTAGTTAGCATCTACCTCTCTGGGAAATGAAAGGAGGGTTGATTTAAGGATGAGTATAGACGTTTAATAAAAATGATGTGATTTGAATTTTTAAAATTGCAAACCATTGGTTCCCCCCTGCCCTTATGTAAAGGACAATGAGTGTTGTGTAAATAGTAAACTTTAAGTAGCATGAATTTTCATCTTTATTAATGATCTTGACATAAGCGAGAGAATGGTTAATATGTTAAGTAGAGCCAACCGAGTATGCTGTCAAAAAGCATTGTCTTTGGGAAATTTTTGTATAATGACCTGGGGCATAAGTTGTGATGAAAAGGTAAATGGTTTCTCAGTTTCAGTCATACTTAATGATTAGAAAGCTAAAAGGTATTTTCTTTAAGCATATAATTAAGTTCGATCTCTAGCATGACTTAAAAGTAGGTCCCTTGAAGGTTAACCCATGTGCTGGTGCAGCCTTTGAGATGTAGTCTGTTCAATAGATCTTTCTCCAGTGATGGAAATGTTCTATGACCTATGTGGTCCAATGTAGTGGCCACTGGCTAGTGCACAGTTGAAGCGGAGTTAGTACGACTGAAGAACTGGATTTTGTATTTTATTTCATTTTAAGTTATTTAAACATAGTCACTCACTTTTGGCTGGTGGCTACCATATTGGATCGTGTAATTCTGGAGGGTTGCGCGGTAGGATCTAACATGAGAGTGTTAACAGAGTAAGGCTAAGAAGACAGTTCATGGTTTAGTAACATGCAGTTGGCTAAAAAAAAAATCCTTTCTGGGCTTGATCTCAAGTATGATGATTAAAATTCATTGATTGCCCTTTGGGGTTATTACTTTCATACTTTGGGCCAAAGAATGGTCAGTGAAGCTTAAAGAGTGCTTTATGCAGCCCCTTTTCTGGGATCATTAGCTGCATGTGAATCTATTGTCCAAAAATAGTAGTTAGACAGTAGCTGTAAAAACTTTTGACTTGCAAGCTATGCATGACCTGTACTGTGAAACTGTGTTTAGGGTCTTATGGCCAAAAACAAATGTTACAGAAAAAAAGAAAAAAAAAAAGCCTAATGAAATTCCCCTTCACTTCGAGCATCTTACCCAGACTTCATCACTGAATGAGTAAGGTGTGAAATGTAAGAGAAATCATGTTTTGCAGTGTTCATAGAGGGTTTTTGTTTGCCCTTGAAGTCTGCCGGCTTGTCGTTGTGTTGGCTGTGGGCATATGTGGGCATCCTTTTTCAGATACCAGACTACAACATAGGGACTGTTTTTAGAGTGAGATTTGACACTTGTCATTTGGTTTTTAACTTTTATCCCTTATCGCTGAACAAATTGCAAATTTGCAGCCTTGCACAAAGGCATTTTTTTTTTTTTTACATTAAAAAACATGGCCCATGGAATTTAAAGACTGGAGGGTTATTAAAGTTACTAAAATTGCTTTTTAAGTGAGTAAAGGAAAGCAGAAACTTCAGTTTGAGATATATTTTCATAGAAAGATGAGACTCTTCCTGGTAGTATGGTATTTGTTATGGTCTAGATTTTGATTTGAAGAGTTCCCATTGCTTTATTTGAAATCCTGTGCTGTGTCAAAATTGGCTAGTCTGCTTTTCATTGTTTCTGAATGTAACATAAACATTGCATTTGTCTCAATTTAGCAAAATCTGGTGAATTTTTTTTTCTAGAACTTGTCAGTGGGCGTGACCTTTTTAGCTTTTAAAATTTAGTTTTTGGTTTTTTTTTTGCCAAAATGGTAGTTTTTCTTTAGACTTAAGAGGAATTTAGAGGTCCAGAGGTTATTGGTATGAGAGGAGTGATATCGAAAAGGTTTGAATTTCTGTCTTCTCCTAAAAGAATGCTGCTGCCAATCAGTCAGTGTTTTGTTTCCATACAAGTCGTGTCACCAGTCAGTTGATCTGTCATCCTTGACCTGGAAGGAGAGACTGTTCCTTGCCATTTTCATCACTCCCAGGAAAATATCACTTATAATACAACCCTTACCAAAACAGAAGCTCCAAAGAAGAATGAAGTAATCAAGAAAACTCAGTAACTGTGTTGAAAGTAGTAGTCTATCTCAAAAGCAATGAAGATCAGTTAAATATTATTAAGCATGAAATACTTCTAAAAAATAAGTGGAAATTCAAGCCATTGATTTTTTTTTCTGACATGATTCACTATATATAGATATACATATCTGTATCTGCACATACAGGTGTAGACATACATGTAGACACACACACATGACTTAGCTGTAACAGGAGTTAAAAAATCAAGTACAAAATGTTAGTCATATTTTCCAATTTGTGGGTTATATAATGTTGAATTTAGATATTTCTTAACAAATGCTATGGGCTGCATACATTGTATCAAACCAACCACCTTTGGGAATGTCTAGATGAATAAACCCTTGAGACTTCAAGCATATGAAGAGGTGGGTTCTACTGTATACATTTTATTGGAAAGCCATTGATGATCGAAGAACATAAGCAGGTGTTTTATAATAAGACGGATAATTTCCGTCTTTCAAATGGCTTGTTTTTTGGCTCTGTTCAGGCATCATGGGTGGAGTACCATTATTCCTAAACTCTTGCAGCATGGCTCCAATTTTTTGGCACAAGTTTACTTGCACAGTTGGGCCAAGGGATTTTTTTTTTTTTCAAGATTCACTGCCTGGGGTATCCCACTATGTATATTTCACTTATGATGTAGTGGTGCTTGAAAACACTCATCTCGTTAGCTGGACTTTATTATTCTAGTCTAAGATTTTTGATACGATTCATATTATGATCTTTTTAGGGACAATCAGTAATATTTGGGGCAAAGTACAGAGGAGTCTCTTGAAGTCTGCAAAGGCATGCATTTTCTTTGTTTTTCTGGGTTGCTCCCTTATAGTTGTCCCTGTTCTTCTAGAACACTGCTCTAAATTCATCACTACGGGCTGTAGGGCTAGTAGCCTGTGTGAAAGTTTTCTGTATTCTCCCTGTGAGTTATTGGGTTATTCCAACAAGAGTTTTCCAAAGGGGGATGTTCCATTTTTCATTTGACATTTGCTTTTTGAGAATCTGGAAGTAGACGATTGAATGTGAGGGTGGTAAAGGAGCATGGGCTGTAAGAAGGAGGAAAAAGAGGAGGAAGATGTCCCCTTGGAAGGGGAGCAAGGATCGACCGCAATCGGTGTCATCTCTGTTTAAATGGGAGGACAGAGTAGCTACTATCGTACACTGTGGTTCAGGAAACTCCTGGTCTGATTTTTCTGGCTGAGAGACAGACCTTCTGTGGGAGCAGTGGGGATGGGCGGCCTCAGGTCTATAGCAATAGATAGATGTGCTCAAGACAGTGAGAAAATACTTGCAGAAAAGGAGAGAAATCTGTAATGGGAGCATGGGTCGAGAACAAAGTATATAGGAGCTGAAGGTCAGTCGTGGCAGAAACCAGCTGAAGAAAGAAACACAGGAACAACTAGGAATAACTTAAGACAAGCACAATTAAATTCCAGATGTTTAAGTTGAAGACCTATAGGGAGTGGGCTCGGCTAATGACAGGATCCAAGGAGGGCCCCCCTGGGTTGTCCACACGCTAGACAATC